AGTCAGAGTTGGTAAGTGAAGGGGATGTGAGAAGTGAGAGAGGAGGGAGCTTGTTAAGGCTTCGAACAGGGGACATTGGAAGGAACAGTGAAGTCAGAGGATGCAGCTGCTCTGTGGAAAGATGCTGGGCTCAGGCTTATGTGATGATGTCCTGAAAACCGTTGGCCTTATGGGGCTGGAGCTGTGAAGAGAGCTCATCTGTGGGGAGGTGCTAGGGGAAGCTGCTAAAGGAGTGGAGAAGATCCTCGAGGGATTCTCTAGGGAGGCTAGAGGCAGCATCTTAAGAGGTCTGGGAGAGGGTGATTAGCCCTACAAAGAAACCAAGAAGCATCCACTGGGGAGTGGTAGGTTGAGAACCAGGAGAACGTGGTGTCTATAAGGCCAAAGAAGAGATGGTCAGGGATGTCTGATGCTGCAGAGGGGCCATGGAGAATGGGGACTGAGAAAAAAGTCAGTTTATGGGGATTCGGAAAAGTATGGAGATCCGCCTATAACTTGATGCAGAGGGAAGTGAGGAGAACTAGGGGAGCGGTGTGATAGCTTAACACAATACCGATCATCAGAGAGGTCTGAAAGACCTCAGAGCTGTGACTAAGGCAAGGATCGATTCTGAACCAGGTATGGTTTCCTGGACGTGGCTTCCGGATGTGGCCAACGTGTTTACTTGTTTTTTCTGACGGTAGTTATTTTGTGAAATTGTGGGACAGGAGGGGAGCTATGTTAATCATAGATAGCGAGAAAATTGTATTTTATTTATTGGAATAAAAGAATTTAACTGTAAATTATGAGGAATCAAGTTTAAGAGGTGGTATTCATTATCAGGTTTTCAATAAAACACTTGTTTTTTCTACAAAGAAGAGACCATATGGATCCGTTTTCCTGATTTTTAACAGTTCTCTTCTGCTTTTCCCTTTTTTTTTTCTCTTGTATAATAGTATTTGTTGGGGAATAGTTATCTGGGACGCGAGAGGGGACGAGGCATTGGGAGCAAGATTGGTGCTGTAAAAGCAAAAAGAACCACTTCAATTTATTATTGTTTTAAAGATCGGGCCATTAGCTTTGGTGATTAGCAGGTCATCAGGGACTTCAAAGAGAGCAGTTTCTGTAGAGCTTTGGGGGAGGAACCTAGAGGAGAGACGGGGCTGAGCAAATGAAAACATTGGGGGAAGCCAACCTTTCGGGAGAGTTTAAAAATGAAAGGGAAGAGGGATGTGGGATGGTAGAAGCGTCAAGGAAGGAGTGTCTAGGGCATCTCCAGTTGATACAGTTTTAGATAGTCTTTGCTTTAAGAAATATCCAGCTAATGTTTGTCTATAAGGTGTCTACTTCACAAATACATTTGGCTGAATTCAGGTTAAAGTCTCATTCAAAGCCCTTTTGATTTGAAAGTTTCCTGGCGTGCCCAGACAGAGGAACCACGGAAGCGAATGTGTTGCTGATAGCATCAGGGTGACATGAAGGAAGCAGCTTGTGAATAGGATAACCTTCTGCTGTGGACATTGACTGAACTGGGTGTCTGTCCCATGTTCCTGGACTCTCAGCATCTTGGGGCTAATTATATATCAATAAAGTCTTTCCTCATGACTTCCACTTACAGAAATCCTGGTCCAATTTGGCACCATTACTGTGGATATATCCAGGGGTGTGCTGGAGCGCATTTTAAATTTTCATTTGAATATTGCTACCTTGGAAATTGGCAAACACTACAAACCAGGGCACTCACTATTTCTTGCTTTTTTCAGGGTCGAGACTAAAGAGAGTAAAGGAAAATATGTTAGTAATACAGGTTAAACCTAAAACTGGGTTCTGTGCACATCTCCCCCACACACCTGGAGAGCTGGTTGTTAAATATTTACCACCATAACCCTGGAGTTATGGGAGTATGTGGGAGCTGGTCGTTTATAGGATCATATTTGTTGTTGAATCCTTTCAGTCGCGTCCGACTCTCCGTGAGCCCACCTGGGGTTTACTTGGCAGAGATACTGGAATGGTTTGCCATTTTCTTCTCCAGCTCATTTTACAGATGAGGAACCTAAGGTAAACAGGGTTAAGGACTTGCCCAGGGTCCCGCTGCCAGTAGGTGCCTGAGGCTGGATTTGAACCAAGGAAGATGTCTCTTCCTGACTCCAGACTCAACACTCTTATCTACCACAACCCTACCTGGCTTCCCACAGGGCCACATAAGTCCCTGAAAAATGCTAGAGACTCACCAGAGAGGGAAGGAGAAGAGTTTTGACTGGTTACAGGCTGAGAGGTGAGTCTTCTATGTTTTTTGTGGGGTCAAATAAAATCCGTCCTATGCTCGATGTATCCGTAGCCTCAGTACTTGCAAGGGACCAGAGGGTTCTTTCTGTGTCCTTCAGTGACCCAGGCATGACTCAAACACTGATGTTTCCACAGAGAAGCCAAACAAAGCGGGATGAGTGAGAAGCCCCTCTAGAGGGAATGCTGTCCCTGTTAAGCCAGACTTTCAGTTCAGGGCCACGTGTTGAAATCTCTGTGATCCAAAACGTACTTCTTTCCTCCAGGGTGAAGAAGGAACTCCCCTGTTTAGCTTTGAAAGCCCTTCACAAAGTGGCCCCAACCTGCCTCTGCAGCTCCATTGGACATCCCTTCCCTTCCTGCACCCTTTCTTCCACCAAACTGGCTCCCTCTGTGTTCCTCACTCACAACACCCCATCTCCCACCTCCATGCCTTTGCACTGGCTGTCCCCCATGCCTGCAATGCCCTCCCCATGAAGCCTTTCCTGATTCCCACCCCCACCTGCGAGTGCCCCTTTCCCCAACTACTGTATATGTATGTATGTATATTTATGTATTTATACTCTTTGTAGTTATACTGTGGATAGTATTATTATTATTATTATTAAGTATTTTCTCATCCCTATTGGAATGTCATCTCCCTGTGAGTAGGGATTGTGTCCTCTGCAATACCAGAGCTCAGCACAGTGCCTGGAACACAGTAGGTGCTTCATGAGGACTTGCTGATTGATGATAGAAAAGAAGACAGACTTAATTGATTACCAAAGAGAAGATACGACTATAAAGTTGTGTCATTTAAAAGAGTAAACTTGTGTTCAGAAGCGATGGCATTTTATAGCCAGAAGGGCTCCTTTCGTAGGCTAAGGCTCTCATTTGAAAGGTGAGGAAACTGAGGCTCATTAAAACATTTACAAGGTCAATGTGCTGCCCAATGTCACCCAACCGTTGGGGACAGAAAGGGGCCAAACACCCAGGCGTGTGTTCATGCTCCCAAGAGAGTAACTACCAGTTGTGCCCCTGTTACCTGGACAGGAGGAGGCTCCCAAAGTGGCCTCCCTCCCTTCCCCAGAGGAGGAGTGCAGGGAGGAATGTTTGTCTTCATTTCTCTTTGCCAGAGCATCCCCACGGGAGAATGGGAGGGCCTTTGGGGGGGGCATCCTGTGTCCCTTCTGTATGGGGATCTTGGTCCCTAGTTCAGTGTGTGGCAGCCTGGCAGCACTGAGGGAGAGCTTGTTAATAAGTACATAGATGGGAGAGCATCTAGCAAGGGACTGTGCCACTGAGTGGAGGAGGTGGCTTCTGTGCAAACAGGCGAGGGCTCCTTCATCCCAGTCCAATTTCTCTCCCTTTTTTTTAAAGAAAATTTTTCCAATCTCGCTTTTAAAGGGAGTGAGCCCTGTGGCCCTCACCTCTGGCCCACAGCTGAGGCTGCAGCTACATGTATTCAGTGTGAAGGGGATTCCCAGTTTGGAGGAGTGGAGAGGCAGGCATCATCAATTCTCTAACAGGCTCTGTGTGTGTGTGTCTCTCTGTCTGTCTGTCTCTCCCTCTTTGTCTGTCTCTGTCTCTCTCTCTGTCCCTGTCTCTGTCTCTCTGTCGCTGTCCCTCTCGTTACTAAAAATGTATTCCAGTCTTGTCTCTGCATAATTGCCTGCATGACCATAGGTCATCATTTGACCTCTCTAGACCTCACTTTCCTGCTCTGTAAAATGAAGGGGTTTAAAAGATGACAATTAGGTCTGGTCAAGTTCTTCATCAGGTGTTTCCAAAATTATTTGGCTTACTGCCCCCTTTTCAAAAAAAAAAAGCTCAGCGCCCCCCTGGAAATCTATTTTCCTTAACCTGTACATTATTTTAAAAAATTTGCATCATTTCAAAAAAATAAAAAATTTTTCTAAAAACATGATGCATTGTAAATTTAATAATTCATTTTAAATTCATGGTTTTTTCCCTGCATTGAAATTTTGGTGATGCATATTGTGCCATATAACCATATAGTATGTTGTAAACAAGTCATTGAATACACATATTCCTGAGATGCCTGCTGGACTTCCTCACTTTGTTCAACATCCTCGCCTGCCAACACTTGCGTTCAAATCTGGGCTCAGACACATAACACTCACTAGCTGTGTGACTCTGGGCAAGTCACTTAACCCCAATTACCTCATAAAAAAACAAAAAAGAAAACAATTTACTTGTCTTCTTTCTTTATGTTTCCACTCCCCCCTTATTTTTATTCAGTGCCCCCCAATTGCATCCTATTCTACTACCATCCCCCTGGATCGTTCCAGAGCCCCCCAGGAGGCAGTATCACCCGCTTTGGGAGCTAGATCTATGATCTTATGCATGACCATGAGCAAGCCCCTTCCCCTCCATGGGCCTCAATTTCCTCCCCTGTAAAAGGAGGAGGTTTTCCTAGATGACTTTGTGAGGCCCCTTCCAGCCTAACTCCATCTTGCCCCTGCTGGGGGCAGAGCAGCACCTCTGCCCCTCTCTGCTCCTCCCCCTCTGCTCCTCTCCCTCCCTGTGGGTGACCCTCTGACCCTCCCCTCCCCCTCTCTCCGCCCCTTCCTGTGCCCTCTCCTGCATCCCTTTATCCCTAGGGGGCAGAGCAGCACCTCTGGGCCTCTCTGCTCCACCCCCTGTGCTCCTCTCCCTCCCTGTGGGTGACCCTCTGACCCTCCCCTCCCCCTCTCTCCGCCCCTTCCTGTGCCTTCGCCTGCATCCTTTATCCTAGGGGGCAGAGCAGGCTCCTCCCTTTCTGTCCTTGGGAGACCTGGAGGCAGGGTGTGTCTGAGGGTCTCCTGAGAGAGGTAGGCCTCATTTCTGATCCTTCTCCATCCTCTAAGTGGGAGGGCAAGGGTCTGGGGTGTGGGGGGGCAGGGCCCCAGAAGGAGCTTCTGGAGGCACTGAAGCCACTATGGCTGCGTTTCCTCAGGGGTCTGAGTGCGAGGTGCTGCCTCGGGCCTCCTAGGCCTGCTGAGGCCTTTACCCCGTGGCCCTGGGGGCCTTTGACCAATCAGAAATGGGGAGGGGTGGTTTCTGCAGGGTATTTGATATGTTCGATATGATATAATAACTAATATAATATTTGATGAGGGAATTTTGAGCTTAGCTGATTCATGGAGACTAAGTGAAGAAGGTGTTAGTTAATGAAGAGCCTGGTTTTTATCCCAGAGCTGGTGAAGGTAAGAATTAAATAGGTCAAGTGGCAGGCCAGATGGTGACCTGGAGGACAGGTGGGTCTTCTGGATGACCCCCCCACAATGGCCACACCACCAGGCCTCCCCCCACCCCAAGTATCCAGGAGAGGGCCCATCCTTCCAGGCCAGACTTGGCCATTTAAAACAATTTAAACACTCCCTGGCAGAGATTTCTCCTTGTCCTCCTTGCCTCTGCCGCCTCCCTCAGTCATTGCCCACGTGGCATCTTCCTTAGGACCCAGGGGATGAGCGGGCAGAGGCTTCCGGCCCTGAAGGAGGGCCATCGCTTGGGTACAGGTGACTGGGGGGGATGCCTGGGCCTACAAAGAGGGGGCTGCCTGGACACAGAAAGGAAAGCTGCACTGACTTGCAGGAAACGTCACCCTAACAATCAAGCCTGCCTGCTTGCTCCCAGTTTTTCCCTCCTGTATTTGTGTTTCTGAATCAAACTTCTGTTTGGTACCTAGGCCCTGGTGAAAACCCATTCCTCTTCCCACCCAAAGAGGCCTCTTTCTGGATCATCGCCCGCACATCAAGTGGCTGCCCCTTCTGTGAGCCTAACAGTGCAGAACCAGCACCCCAGGGACTCGTGACTGCCCTCTGTAAGTTGGGGATGAGACACCACCCTTCCCTCTCCTTGACCCCTAACTTCTCACTACGAAAACCCCAATGATTTTTAGTGGAAAAGGAAGCACTTGGCTCAGGGCAATGCTCTCCTCTCATGTTCTGCCATGTTTATAGAGATGGGTTGGCATGCACATATATGTACACAGTCTTCTTTCTGGTTCTGTCCCTTCTGCTTGTCCCCAAATCCCCAGGTCTCCCTTCTGCTACAAAGTTTTCCCTTGCTCACTGCATCCTCCCAAGCTATTGTCCTATTTTCTCCTGCCTCTTGGCTAAACTTTAGTCAACAGGTGTCTCCCTGGCTTCCCCCCTCCCCCCTCCCCCCCCCTCCGCCTCCCCCACTGCTTCCTCAATCCTCACTTCCCTGGCCCGTCTCTAGGTGAACAGCTCAGATGAGATCTCAGATCCAGCCATTCTGGTTCATTCAAAGGGCACAAAGCATCCCTTCTAAGAGCTCCATCTTCCATCTTTAGAAAGGCTCTTAAGAGGAGTGTGGAAGCCTCCCAAAGATAAGGATAGGGACTAGGGTGAAGAAGAAGGAACAGGAGCTCTGGTAACAGAGTCTTTGACCAAATCGGGAAAATGACCTGGGCTCAGGAGATGACCTCAGTCCAACAGCCTGGTGAGCCTCCCTCCCTCCTTTGCCCAGAGAAAGTAGGTCCAGTTCTGAGCTGAAGTGGTGGACAGAATGCTTCTTTGAAAAGAGCACCGATGGAGGGGAGTGCATAGGCCACAGAGCCGGGCTGCCAGAAGTCCCAGGGCAGTGAGCCAGAGCAGGCTTGGAATGGGCTTCAGGAGCAGGAGGGACGACTGGGAAGGAAGGAGGCTGGGTGGCCTGGCTGTTAACACCCAGGGCTGTGAGATTGGATGACCCAGACTGGGGAGCCAGGACAATGGGAGGATGGGCAGACCCAAACTGAGCAAGAGGGTATTTGCAGAGCTAGTCCCAGAGGTGGGGGGGGGGCAGTTTTAAAAGCACAGGGAGGTTGAGCAGCTAGGTGGCTCAGTGGATAGAGCACCGGCCTTGAAGTCAGGAGGACCTGAATTCAAATGCGGCCTCAGACCAAACACTTGACACTTACTAGCTGTGTCACCCTGGGCAAGTCACTTAACCCCAATTGCCTAAAATTTTTTTTAAAAAAGCAGAGGGAGGGAGGTGGTGGCACACTACCACCAACTCGGGGGAGGGGGGGCTGCTTTGGCTGGGGGCAGGTGGTCTGGCTTTCTGGAGCAGGCACCCAGCAAGGCCAGCAGCACCTTCTGCTCCAGGACATCTCTCCCATGTTTTGTGCTCTTCTCCCAAGGTCCAGGTGGAGCCACTTAGAGGAGAGCCCTTCAGGCAGCAAGGCCCAAATGGAGCAGAGTGGAAGATCTGCCAGAATGAGTGCAAAGGTCAAAGGCGAAGGAGGAAAGTCCAGTGCCAATCAAGAGGGAGCTGTTGCAGGGGCTGGGCCTCCTTTCAAACTTCATCAGATGGGAGAGAAGCAAATTGAAACAGTGGTACAGCAATTAATAGCCTTAAATATTCAGAAGAGTATCCCCCAGGGAGCAGAGGCCAAACCTGAAGGCAGGGAGGAAACAGCAGCTCAGGCAGCTGGTGGGAGCCCTAGCTCACCCACTGCGGGCCTGACTGTCTAGAAGGGATGGCAGAGGGAGGAAAGACAGGAGGAAATATGACTGGAAAGGCAGGCTCCTTAGTAATGGTATAGACCTGTGTGACTGCCTCAAGGTGGAATGCCCTGGCTGCTTCTACCCTGCCCCAAGTGCAACTCCAAGAAATGTGCGGTCAAGTGTCGCTGCAACCGGCGCTGGGTCTACAGTAAGACCAAAAATGAGGCTGGTGACATACTCAACACATTTCCATTTGCCTATCCCGACTAAGGGCGGCCCGGCGCCCACTTGGCAACACTCGCTTCCCTCTTCTTTGGGGGGGCCCAAGTGGCTGCTTTCTTGGTGACTTGTAGGGCAGAACTGGGCAAAGAGCTGGCCTGGCCCTAGTGAGCAGTGAGCCTTCCAGTGCCGGGCACCAACAACTGCCCCCTGCCCAGGGCACCCTCACAAAGCTCACCTTCCATCATTTTCAGCCTTCCTGCCCTCCCTACTCCCGGAGCCAGTTCAGTTCCTAACTGAAGCTGCCTCTGTTTCTTGTCACTTAGGGCCTGAAGGTTAACAAAAACACAGACAGACCAACAAACAAAACCCAACCTGGCTGTTTATCTTCTGTCAAGTTGTAGCACTTTGGAATCTTTCTGTCTCTTTTCTCCCATGTGCTTAATCTTTCCTGTTGAGTTCTAGTTGATAAATTGTTCAGCTGTTGAGATGTTTCGGAGATGAAATGGATAAGCATTGTTTAAGCAATAGCATTTAAAGAATGCAATAAAAGCCATTTACAAATCCAAAGCTGGTTTTTAATCTCAAAGAATCCCCTTTGACTGAGAATCCAAGCAGAGCCATATGCAAGGGGTATACCTGAGTGGGCAGGCAGGCCCTCCCCACCGAGAGGGTGAAGGCAAGAAAGATCCACACCTGGGTGGACAGGCAGGCCCTCCCCACCGAGAGGGTGAAGGTAAGAAAGATCCACACCTGGGTGGGCAGGCAGGCCCTCCCCACTGAGAGGGTGAAGGTAAGAAAGATCCACACCTGGGTGGGCAGGCAGGCCCTCCCCTCCCAGAGGGTGAGGGTAAGAAAGATCCACACCTGGGTGGACAGGCAGGCCCTCCCCACCCAGGGGGCAGCGTGAAACTTGGCCATCCAGCCTGAACAAGGGGCAGGAAGGACTTGCCACCACCAGGAGGACTCTTCCCATTCAAGCTTTGCCTCCCAGGGAGGGGCTCCAGGGCTATACCATGTTTTCCCTTAATTCCTAGTGGAGGCCCAGGGGAGGGATGGAAATGGAGTTTTTGGTGGTTAGCGAGTTCACCTGCCTTCATGGGGACTAGTTATTTCTTTGGTACCCTTCCCTTCCCCTCCTTTCTAGTGTCTGCCAGCATCATCAGTAGTGACTTTAAAGGGGCCTTCTGACACATAAAGCCTCCTGAAGGAGAACCCTCCACCCTTGGCCCACCCTGGCCTTTCATCTTGTGCCATCTCCATTCCTGGCCACCTCGTGACACTCCCCCAGATATACTCAGGGGTGTGTCTCATTTCATTGGGCCTATTTTCCTTGACCATCTTGGGTTCCCAGGTCAAGTTTGACTCATACATTGAAACAATCAGAATATGTAACATGGACCCCGAACTGACTCAGGGGCCAGGCTTCTCAGTCCCTTCCTGTGGAGGCAGACAAGCCCCAGAGCACAGTAAGGCCCAGTTTCCCTATGGCCCAGTCTGTTGCCAGGGGCAGACTTTCCCAGGGGGTCTAGGAAAAGGGAAGGATTTTGGAATACAGAAAGGAGCTCTTAATGGGATCAGAGATTTAGTCACAAAAGAGCCCTCTAGCTGGACCTCTTCATTTTAAATTCAAGGGCCAGTAATGGCCAGATATGGCCACTGTTTGGATATGTGGGTTGAGGAAGAGTGAGGAGATGAAAATACACTGAACTCATGAACCTAGAAGACTGAAAAAATGATGCCTTTGACAGAAATGAAGATTGGAAGAGGAGGAGTTTTGGGGGGCATAGATTATGTCTGCCAATAATGTTCAAGGGAGAAACTGGGGCTACATATATCAATCTGGATGTCTTCTATATAGAGATGTTCGTGAAACCCATGAGAACTCTTGAGGTCTTCAAGAGAGAGAGGGTAGAGAGAAAAGAGGGCCCAGTACAGAGTCTTTGGCTGTTCTGTAGTTCGGTGGTGTCACAGAATAAGGGTATGGTGAAGGAGCCATTAGAAAGCAGAGGGAGAACCAGGACAGATAGGCTTGAAACGTTTGACTTACAGGAATTTTCTGTTCTGAACCTGTGCACGTGTTTATAGAGAGAGTTTTGCATGCACATCCATACATATATACATAATATATACATATTCATGCATACATATGTAGGTACATATGTACCTACATATGTAGGTACACACATACACACAGAGTCATCTTCATCTTATATACCCTCCCAGATGTCTGCATCTCAGGTATACAAATCCCAGTGTTTGCCTCTGATATAAATGTCTATATCTTCTTTCCAGTTGATGTTGCAAGACTGTTACTGTATACTGTCAGTTCTCATGCTGACTTTTGCAAAGCCCCCCAAGAGGACTGAAGATGGCATTTGTAACTCTGACCATCTGAGTGAAATCCTTTGGACATGTACACAAATATGCCTACACAGGTGTTGTTCTCAGACCCAGGTGTGGTATCTGAGGGCCCAAATTCAGATACTGAGTCTGGTATTCCATCATTCCTCCTGCTGAGTTGCCTCCCTTTTCTCCTATGTAACAGTCCTAATAGCACTGCAATATGATGGAAGTCTCTTGACCTCTGGGCCTCAGTTTCCCCTTCTGTAAAGTAAGGTCCCTTCCAATTCAAAATCCTGTGATCCACCTGTTGGATAGAGGAGCAGGCAACACGCTCTAGTGGGAAAAGGGATGGAGTTGGACCTGACAGTCTGTGAGGGCTCTCGCAAATCCCTGAAAAGGGGTTCACAGTCAAGCAGGAACTCCACTAACCCAGAAGCCATCTGGGTCAGGAGGGAATGGGATGGGTTCTCCTCCCCCCTCCCCTTCTCTCCTACTGCAGCAGGAGGGATCAAGGATAGACTTGTCCTTGGGAGAAGCAGGGAGATGAGTCATCAAGTCAAACTAGCATTTATTTAGCATTTGTAATGTGCAGAGTTCTGGATAGAAACCCAAATACTCCCCACTACCTTGTCCAGGGTGGCAGGTTGGGGGAAGGGAGGGGGAGGTTCCCACTTAGGGACCTCGAAGAGAACAAAAGACCACTTCAAAGAGCACTTCTACGATTCTACAAGGCGCTTTTCACATATCTTATGTGAGCCTCAAAACTACCCTGTGTGGTAGATATCCCCATTTTACAAATGGGGAAACTGAGGCAAATAGGGAGTGGGAATTAACAAGCATGGAGGATTAGGCTGGACTACGATTCCCAGAATCCTCAGGGCGGACTCGTTTTCGGTTGAATTACTGACCGGCTGGACCTTGGTCATGGTTCTGGGGATTCTGGGAAGTGTAGTTCGGTTGGCTCGCGCCGAGGTTAATGCCTGGGATTGGAGAGACACATCCCCAGGGTGGGTCCCGGGAAACAGAATTTGAGAGGCCCTGAGGAGCCAGAACTCGGCAACTTCAAGGACTGCAGGGGAAGGCAGAATCACTAATTTCTCTCTTGAGCTTCTCCCCAGAGCCAGGGAAACAATGATGCAATTCATGCATGCGCAGCCTCTGACTTGCCGCCACCCTGTGGGCATAGGATTTGTGCGCATGTGCGTGAGTTAATGTCTCTCTGGGGGCGAAGCTTGGCGGAACCGAAGAGGAGAAGGAGCGCAAGAAGAGACCTGGCGCGGGGCGCGCGGGGCTCTGAGGGAAGAGGAGGGGAGGGGCTGTGTGTACATTGAGTAGATCCTGGGAGTCTCGAGATACCTGGGTTCAAGTCCCGCCCCTGACACCTGGTAGCTGTGTGGGATAAGGAACAGGTCATTTAGCCTCAGTTCCCAGTCTGTACAAAGTGGTACTTGGGGGGAGGAGCAACTGAGATGATAATGCCCATACAGTGTTGTGGCAATGACGGGCCTGGTGGATCGATACGGTCCATTGCCTCTGAGAAGATGGAGAGGAGTGGGGGCCCGGCACGTGATGCCCCTCTTCTTGGGGCCCTGTCTCCAAGTCTTCTCTGCACCCCCCCCCCATCCCCGCTTCGTGGGGTCAGCCAACAAACATTTCTTAACGTACCAGGTTTTGTGCCGAAAGCTGGGTTAGACAGATAAAAGTGAAACAATTCCTGCTCCCGAGGAGCACGTGCTTTAATGGGAGAGATAACGTGTACAGAAACATACAAATATCCACAAAATGAATCCTAGGTCAACTGGGGGGTGGGGGGGAGGTGAGACAGTAGGGATCAGAAAAGGCTTCATATAGAAGGTGGCACTTGGCCTGAATCTTGAAGGAAATCAAGGATTCCAAGAGGTAAAGAAGAGAGTGTTCCAAGCAAGGAGGACAGCCTTGTGCAAAGGCCTGGAGTCAGGAGATAGGGTGTCTTGTGTGAGAAGCCGCAATAGGCCAGTATAGGTGGATCATTGAGAGTGTGGAAGGGAGTAAAGTGAAAGACTGCAAAGATAGGAAAGGGTCAGGTTGTGAAAAGCTTTAAATACAAGACGGCTTTATATTTGATCATTGAGGTAATAGGCAGTCACTGAAGGTTACTTCATGGGGTGAGGGGAGTGTGACATGACCAGATCTCTGCTTTAGAAAAATCACTTTGGCAGCTGAATGGAGGATGGATTGAAGTGAGGAGAGATTTGAGGAGAGACCAGTTAAAAGGCTGTTATAGTAGTCCAGGTGAGAGGTGATGAGGTCCAGAACTGGGGTGGTAGTTATATGAATGAGGAGAAGGGGACATAGGGGATAGATATTATGAAAGGAGAAAGGATAAGATTTAGCAGTGGATTGGCTATGGGGAGTGCATGAGA